TACAGCAGCTACCTTTATATGACAATGTCAAAGTGTCACAGGTGATCCACAACCACAAAAACGCAGAGAAGCATGCCTTTGAAGTGAGGGAATACAGAAGTAAGACAAGCTGACCACGTGCCTATTTTCGTCAACGATGACGATATTCTTAATTGTGGTCGACTGGATTATGAGGAAGACTGCACCGGGGTTGAGTGAGTGAGTGAGTGAGTGAGGAGGCAGGAATACGCTGCACTGACCGACAAGAAGACTACTCTAGAATGTCTAGATTTCGGGCATGGACGATTTATGTTTTTAATATCACACAAACACAAACTCAAAGACTTAGTTAGAGGCACGCGAAAACTGGCAACGGACTGGCTGAAGAGACTGTCTGCCTGCCAGAGAAGACACGACTCCATCCAGTTGAACATAGAGAGAAGGTGAAGACGAAGACGATGAAGATAACCTACCGCCACCACCACCAACAGCAGCAACAACAAGCAACAAACACCATCAACGGGACAATGAGGTTGAAAGACGTTGCTTCCTGTCTTCACCGATCTAGGTAGCCAGCCAGCCAGCCAGAATCAGAAAGATAAGCAAGACACGCCTTCATCAGTCTGCAAATCTTCTGCTTCACTCGGCGTGTATCAATTTACTTGGTTAATTACCACTCTCACCACTCCCTCAATCACTCAGTGACATGTTATTTATTATTATTATTGTATCCTTTAATTCCTACAGGAACATAGGGCTTCAGCCGTGCGTCTCCATTGCGTTCTGTTCTCTGCTAGAGTCTTCACCTGGCTCCAAGTCTGTCCACACGTTTTCATCTCCTCTTCACATCACCTCCTCCAAGTCACCCACACTCGCACTGACGACCAACTCGCTGCTTCCCTTTCGGGTTCCACTCGAGCAATAGCTTGTCTAGTGAAGTCACTTGATGGTTTCCGAAGAGTATGGCCAGCCAATCCATCTCCATTTCTTCCTGCATATTCGTTGCACAATCGGTTCCTGCTGAGTTGGTTCGCTCACTCCCAGAGATCCCTGTTGCTGATCTTTTCTGGCCGGCCATCGGATCTTGAGTAGTATTGAGCGAAGACAACTGTTAATGAAGGTCTGTAGTTTGTTTGAGGTGCTCTTTATGACGCGCAGTGCAAGTCTCTGATCCATCCGTATAGTGAGTAGCACTGACTGACTTCACATTGGAGTTGAAAATCCGGATTTTATTTTTGATGCTGAGAGTTGTTGACCTCCACACAGACTTGAGAGTAATGAAAGCTTATCTTGCTTTTCCGATTCTTCCTTTGATATCCTCGTCAATTCCGCCTGTAGTTGAGACGATGATTCCCAGGTAGGTAAGTGAAGGAGGTTGTTTCTTTCAGGTTCCTCCCATTTATGCTGACTGATTGTTGGCAGTTGTTGTTGTTGCTGTTGGTGGTGTTGCCCAGGAATTTTCATGACCTCTGTTTTATCTATGTTCACCTGAAGTCCTATCTTCTCTGGATGCTTCTTCTGCCAACTTGTTGCTTTTCGCTTGCATGTCTTCCAGTTTGTGGGAAATCAGACATATATCATCGGTGAAGTCCAGATCCTCCAATTTGTTTTTGTGTGTGTCCATTTTATGCCTGTTTCCTCATCGCTATGTTAATACTGACTAATTATGTGGTGACATCGTGCGTCAGGCCATCACTCGAGTGGAATTCGAAAGGGAAGCGGCGAGTGGGACGTCCAAGGGTGACATGGAGGAGATCGTGTGAAGAGGAGCTGAAACAGTATGGACTAACATGGATGCAAGCGAAAAGTACAGCAGAAGACAGAAACAAGTGGAGACGTGCAGTTGAAGGCCTATGTTCTACTAGGAACCCAAGGGAACAATAATAATACAATAATAATAATATGCGTTAACAAACATATCAGCGCCATGTTGATTGGTAAAATGTTGTGTATTGTGTTCAGAATGCTGTAGGTGTTGTATATTAGAGTAGAGCCAGTGTGAGGTGAGGATTTTATTAAAGAAGTAAATTCAAGTATTGGTTTCTAGGGATTTGATCGGTTGGTTACAGGATTTCATCATGAGCTGGCATTGACAGTCCATGTCAATGTCAGCTTATGATGAAATCCTGTAAAAAGTAAATATTTCTTCGCTGTTCAATCCTTTTTGCACTCTAAACGTCTAAATGGGCATTTTTTACAGATGTAGGAGAGTAAACTTTAAAATAAATCGATATCGTTGTTATTTGGTTCGAGGCAATTGGAAGGAAGCCCTGTCCAAAGGCCTTCATCATCAGTCAGCAAGGTTGACGTGTATCTGCAACCATCTTGAAAGAATTCTTAAACACCCACCCACCCCTGTGAAATTCGACACCACCTCTACTGCGAAGGGGAATACTACAATTCAAACATACTGAAGAGAGAATTTAAAAAAGGAGTCTGTCAGCCAAATTGGATTATCACATTAGTCTATGGGATAACATCAGTCGAAAATGTGCGACAAACTACACACACGGCAATGATTATCACTCAGATTATACTGGTTAATCCAATACTAAGAAAAATTGCCAAGAACAGATAACGGGATACGGTGTGTATTTCCTGGGATTTCCAATGTGAATAAGTCAGGTCCTGTGATAACCATCATTTCTTTTGTGAAGGCAGTTTATTATTATTATTATTATTATTATTATTATTATTATTAGTGGCACCTGATGATAATCGTATCAAATTGGGAATCAGTAAAAGTTAAAACAAAGAGGTATCATCAGTAAATCCCTATTGGCTTCCTGGTTGGGGTCCATAGGATTCTAAGTGTACCAATGGTTGGAAACAGGTGGTGGTATGGCTGGCGCTGGTGCAGATGCATCCACTCTTTTTGATGATTTATCACATCCAATAAAATTCTCTTGTTCTTCCATAATACTACCATTGTTTTTGCCTCAGTCACACTTCTCTTTATTATCTCTCTTTTGAATCGCTCTTTACTGTCTTCTCTTGGTTTGTGTGGTACATGGAGAGAGTGTGGCCAGTAGAACTGGTATACATTTGTGTAAAATTGTATGTTGGAACCAGTCAGCCAGTCAGTCAGTCAGTCACCATAGAGATACAAAAACGATGGCTATGCACGTGTAACACATGACCTAGCTATCTCAACAGATTCTCCTTCACAACCTCATCTCTCCGCCTAACATTCGACGCCTAACCTGAATTTTACTCATCATAAGTATACCTCCTAGCATAGGAGATAGAACACGGACAACTGTGATCAAAGGCAGCCAGCCTGGCTTTTCGTATCTTTCTTTTTCAATGGCCATGTCTCCTCACAGCCATAAAGCAGGACGGAGCGAACTGGTGAGCAGCACACACGCCCTTTGATCGATAGTCAACAACTGGATACTTCGCCTGATTTGGCAAAGATGGCAAATTCCACGCAAGCCTTCTGTATGCTTGGCGAAGATGAAGCAACTTTCCGAATAAATGAAGTGGTCAACACGCTCAACTAGGCACCACTTCACTCCTGTCTATCTTTAAGTTAGGAGTCAATGTAGTCCAGTCCTGTAGCATCATATAACACTTGACAGTGACAAATCTCGCATGCCAAAACATTCGAAGGTTGCAGCAGCTCAAGGTGTTCAGAAGACTGTGCTCTCTAATTTATCAACATCTTCCCCTAGAAGGAGGACTAGTATCATCCATATACTCTCGGTCAACAGGACTATTCCCTGATGACGTTAATCACGCTAATCCCTAAGTCAGTCACTGAAGAGTCATTTGGGCTTTCATTCCATTATAGTGCATCTGATGTCAAGTACCTTGGACTGAGTATTTCCTCCGATCTTTCCTGGTCCTCTCACATCTTGCTAGTTACTAGAAAGATGTTTCGCTTAACGTTCTACGTTAGGAAGTTAAGGCAGTCTGGTATAAAGCAGTCTTTGCTTTCTCAGTTTGTCAACTCTTGTATTCTAACCATCCCTCTTTACTGCTCCCCATTAATCTTTCCTGGACTCCTTTAGGAAGACTTTGCTTTGCTGCGTAGGGCACTAAAAGCTGTTAGTAGGGCAAGTGGGATATCGTTAAACCAACCGGTTAATACTATTGTGGATAGACATATAATGTCATGTAAGAAACTAGCGAATTCTATATTGTCAGACCCCGAACACCCTCTCTATACGCAGCTCTCTCCTTGTATTTCATCTGGTAGAACCAGAAGCAACTATAGGAGGCTATATGCTAGGACTACCAAGTACACAGAAACTCCACAATACCTTATCTGGCACAGCTGTTATGTGATAAGAAATCCGTTAGGGTATGACACGATCAACTTACTGTGGCACTCTAACAAATAGTTCCCATTAGCTTTTGTTCTCCTTTCTTTGTTACTATTATATTGTTGCTCACATATTCTATTACACACTAATTTTATATTTCATATCCTGTGGTGCATTGTTTAAATATGTGAATGCAACGCTGTTCTTTTTTTATTTCCTTTATTTCTCTTTTTTTCTTTTTGATGTTGTTGCTTTTTATTTTTAAAATCTTATAAAAATTTATGAGGTAATTGGATGCAATATTGTAATACACGCTGGCTGAAAATTCCATACCTGTACCACAAATACTGTTTGGAATAAAGCTACTATTATTATTATTATCTTTGATGAAATTAAACAGAAAAACAAAGGACACTGAGAATCACCCCACCCCCGCAAATGACGGACACCACTGGTTGTTATCACATCAATTCTCTCTCTCTCTTCGTAAGCTCTTACAACACACGACTGCATTAGTACGAGTACAGCAGTGCCTTGATTGGTGCGATGTACTTTCTTGTGGCGCACACGCTTCCTCCCCACACCCAAATCTCTTTCATCATAGATTGATTGTCAAACCCGAAAAAATTTATAGCTTGAAATGGTTCAATAAATAATTAAATAAATAAATAAATTCATCCTTCACATAAAAAAGAAAAAGAAAAAAGAAAGCTTTCACAAAAACATATATATATAGATAAGAAAAATAAATACCTGGATTTTTCTCAACCAATTTTTCTAGATCAACCAGTTTTTGATGTTCACCTAAGAAGTCAGCAGGAGTTCGTTTACGTACAGGTTGTTGTTGTTGCAGGTCTTGTTGCAACTCGTTGGCTGATGATGAAGAGGCCTGATTGGTTTGAGAAGCAGAAGAAGACGACGAAGAAGACGAAGCAACAGCCTGCTGCTGGTGCTGCTGTTGTTGTTGCTGCTGGAAACTTTCACTACCATTAACTACATTTCCATTTAAATCAAAATCAAAGTGACCATTGTTGTTGGCCATGGTGGTGGTGGTGCTGCTGGTAGCTGGAGTGGTAGTGACAGTGTTGTTGGTGTTGTTAGTAGTTATGTTATGCTGTTGATTATGATGATTTAATGGATTCGATTCATTATTTATATTCGATGTGGACGGTAGTGTAGCACCTAGAGTCGATTCTAAATTCCACACACTATCGGAATTACTTGCTGTAGGATAGGCTTGAACATTTGGCTGACCTGTGAAAATTAAAAACAATGCAAAAAATATTCATCACAAATATTCATCAGGTTCTACAGTTATAAATATATACATAATAGTTAGTCAGTTAGTTTTAGTTTTTTCCTTCACGTTCCCCATAGGGCTTCAAGCTAGTGGCTTGAAGTTTCTGTAGCAGTATTTATTATTTTACAGGATGGAATTGCTAGCCTCATGCCCAACCCTTCCTCTTTACCAGCTTTATTTCTGGCTTAGCGAGGTAAAGGAGTGCGTCCAGTGGCCGGGGATCGAACCCCAGACCATGTGCATGGTGATTCCTCAACTGAAAGATGAAGGCACCTAGACTAGACAAGCCAATTCTCTAATTGTATCTACCAATTCAACTACACTTGTGGTGGAGCGGCCGTTGTTCTAAGGAACTTGATTTTTCGTGCTGTACCACCACCAGTGTGGCTAAATAAAGGTGTACTACACAGTTCGAGATTAAAAAAGAGACTCTTTTCGATGGCGAATTCATTCACATAGCTGTCATTCGCTTTTATATATAATTATTTGTGTGTGTGTGTGTGTGTGTGTGTGCGTACATGAGGTTTATCAAGTTTAGATTATTAATCAGGTAATACAAGAATGATCTAATATAGAAACAAGGTTAATTAGACAACAATTAAAGTAAGATTGAGTTAGTAAGTTAGATGACGTAATACAATTGACTAAAATGTTTCAACTTAGGTCAGGGTAGCAACAGTTCGATATTAGACCACCTGGTCCAAACCTGCCACAGAGACAGCATTGGAGAGTCCTTCTCCATCATCAGCTATCGGGTACCAACCAAACAAATTGCCAAAACCATCCAGGTACCGAATACTCTAAACAACAGAAGCTATTGTAATTCGCCTGAAATAACCGGTGCTCTGTGTGCAGAAGAAATAGGTCCAACCAGTCACTATTAACTGCCCTGGCCAGACTTCCGTGGAGACTATAAATTCATCAATTTGTATTATTATTTCTCTTCATTTCTCTAATATTCATTCAGTGTAGTGTTATGTTGATAGTGTAGTGTAGTGTAGTGACAGGAGTGAGAAAAGCTGGCTGGCTGCCTGCCTGCCTATTATCACCAACGATGATATTCTCAATTGTGGTCGACTGGATAATGCGTAAGACTGTGCGTTGGGTGTGAGTGAGTGAGTGAGTGAGTGAGTGAGTGAGTGAGTGAGTGAGTGAGTGAGTGAGTGAGTGAGTGAGTGAGTGAGTGAGTGAGTGAGTGAGTGAGTGAGTGAGTGAGTGAGTGAGTGAGTGAGTGAGTGAGAAAGCAGGAATACGCTGCACTGACCGATAAGAAGACTCTGGAACATCTGGATTTCACGTATGGATGATTTATGTGTAATGTCACACAAACTCGAAGACTTGCATGCAGGCAGGCGGAAACGGGCAACAAACTGGCTGAACACACTGGCTGGCTGGCTGGCGGCGAAGACAGGACTGCCTCCATCCAGGTGATGAAGATAAAGAAGGTGGAGACGGAGGTGATAAAGATGACCAACCAACCAACCACCATCACCAACAGCAACAGCAACAAACAGCACCAATCACCACCGACGGGAGAAAGATGTTGAAGTAGATGGCTTCCTGCCTGCTTTCACTTATCCAGCCTAGGCAACCAGCATCGTTTCAACCACAGGCAGTCAGTCGGGACGGATGAAGATGTTAAAACCAGCCAGCCAGGCAGAATCAGAAAGGCAAGATACACTTTTATCGACCAGAAACCACTTTGGAAATCTTCTCCACTCCGCACCATCATAAACAATAAGATTCGCATTTTCAACACAAACGTCAGTAAAGTCAGTTAGTCAGTCCCCGGCCGATAGCTGCAACCTTGACGTGGTGGTCGGGCTTGCATATCACAATGACCCAACGAGCTACACTGGCTGGAACTTAAGTTCCTGTAGTTCCTACCATGCCAGAAAGGTTGTTTGGATAGCGGTTAGACAAAAAGCAGCTACCCAATCCTACACTATGATTCAAACAAATCCACAAAATATCATGCCGGATCGGTCGGGGCCCGGATTAACAACGACCGCGCTTTCTGCTGCCGTGTCACAGGGCAGAAGTAATAAATATGCTACTGAGACACACCAAACAAGAAAGAACAAACAAAAACAGGCCGCGTGTGACCGGCCTCAAGCAGTTGTCCCCTGGGCTCTGCGGTCACGCAACACTAACCTCTCCTCTATTTCAGGTACCCGAAGACCCAACCAACTTCCACCGTGTGGGCAGCCGGGAAGTAACAACCGCCCACACACTTCCGAACGACCGAGTTAGACAGTCACTTCACCTATATGGGTCAGGAACATGGCATTAACATCATAAAAAAAGCATTTCCAACAGGCCATGATATAAGTAGTATACATGAAAAGACATATAATAATAATACATAAAGATGTATAAAGCGAATTAATGAAATCTTACTTTTTGGACTCCAAGGATCATCAATAGGTATAAGTGGAAATGTCGATGATGTTGACGGAGCCAATGTATTATTAGTAAACGAAGTAGACGGAGTAGGCGATGATGTATTATTCAGGGGATTGTTTGGAGGTACTAACGGTGTTGACCATGGATCTGGTAGATGAGCTGGTGCAGCCGATAATGAAGTATCGACTAAGCTGAACAATCCACCACTAGAAGTATACGACGGTGATTCAAAAGCACTAGATGCTGAAGGAATATTCGATGTTGAATGTCGACTTGATTTATCCTTCTATTAATAAATAAACAGGATGTAAGAAGTATGTCAAAATATAGAGTAATCAGTTAGCATATCGAACATTTGAATAAGGATAGAATGAACATATTCACATATATTTGATAATACGAGGATTGTTGATATAAGTATAAAACTTGGGCACTGCAGTGATGGTAGAGTATAACTCCATTATGGATAAGATTTTATTTTGATAAACTGTCACACAGTGCTGTGTTATACGGTAATATCAACTGATGACCACGTTTCGAGCACACTTTATTATTGCCACTCATAATCATATCAAGTCACTCACTCACTCACACAACTTTCGTCTTCCTTCATTTAAATACATGAGTCAAATTGACGATTAGACATTTGAATACAAATCAGTAATATGGGATAATGTACATTCAGAAGTAATAATAATAATATGAGTGTTATTGATCAATTACAATCAGATGGGAAATAAGACGAGTGTTTTTATAGTCATAATAAGTGAGTAACTTGTTAGAATGTTGTGATGTGCTTGAATTGAATTGAAATAGAATACAATTTAAGATTATTTATTATCCTCCTCTGATTTCACTGACTGACTGACTGAATGGTGGTAATAACATCTTCCATATTTCTGGTATTTCAATTGAGTCATTTCTGTTGCATGTGTTCTGTTGGGTGTAGACTCGATGAACCAGCCAGGATTCAGTAATCAACCTCTCTCTCCACCTACCTAGATTACTTTTCAGAATCTTAACCCTCTCCCACCATGCTATTGTGTGGTTGTGTGTTAATGCGTGAATCTTCTCGGGGTCAACCATTCTTACCTTATTACCGCCGGTCAAATTAGAAGAGAATAATAAATAATCTTAAATTGTATTCTATTTCAATTCAATTCAAGCACACCACAACATTCTAACAAGTTACTCACTTATTATGACTATAAAAACACTCGTCTTATTTCCCATCTGATTGTAATTGATCAATAACACTCATATTATTATTATTACTTCTGAATGTACATTATCCCATATTACTGATTTGTATTCAAATGTCTAATCGTCAATTTGACTCATGTATTTAAATGAAGGAAGACGAAAGTTGTGTGAGTGAGTGAGTGACTTGATATGATTATGAGTGGCAATAATAAAGTGTGCTCGAAACGTGGTCATCAGTTAATATTACTATATAACAACACTGTGTGACACTTTATCAAAATAAAATCTTATCCATAATGGAGTTAATACGAAGATTGGTTGAAGGATTTCATTATGAACTTACGTTAGTTAGGGAACCATTGAAAAACCACCTGGGAGTACTGGACAGAGCTGGTTCGTCCTACCGAGTTTGGCATTTTTCAGCAGTGCGCACCCACCCACCGACAGGGTTCGAACCCAGGACCTTCTGGTTACAAGGCGAGCTAGTTCGTAGACCATTAAGCAGCCACTGTGAACCGATCCAATGATGAGTCCATGACCTCTAACTGATGACAGTTCATGATGAAATCCTCCAACCAATCAAACAAAACCAATACTTGAAAATACAACGATTCTCTTCAACTGCTGCCTACATCCTAAACACAATCAAATCCTAAGCTACAAAATGGTGTATGAACATACTCTTTTACAATGGCTTCAAATGTTATAGATAGAAAGTATAGGCAACATAATTCCAATGGTGATGTAAGCAGACAATTATTTGGTGTTAAAAGAGTAACTATTTATACAGAGATTAGACAAGGGGTAGACTTCAGATTTGTCTTGGAAACAAGGATGGATTAGAGACAAAACTACAAGATAGAACAACAGAGTGAATTTGTACAAGTTATGGTGGAGAGTTCAGGAGGGTGAGTGGGTGAGGGTGAATAGTGACATAAAATAACAAAATAGGTGAAATAATTTAATTTTGGTAGATTCGTAACCTTAATAGTGAGTTCAACTCAGTCAGTAAGTGAAAATCAATATCAAGATTGAACGGAATGTTATGCAACAGAACAAAACAAAACACAAAAGCACACGAACAAAATAATTACGGTTACCAAGTAGGGTAGTGAGATACTAGTCACACTATTTTTGCACAGTATGTATAGGTCGGGTGGAGGTGTTTTGATGGCGGTGGCTTCTGCGAACCGAAGTAGCCATGCTTTTCTTTGTGTAGATTGAAAATCCCCATTGAGTCATATGAAAAAGAGAAGACATTCAGCGAAGAGACTCTTTTCGGCGAATTCATTCACATAGCTGTACAATCGCATTTATATATGATTATTTGTGTGTATGTGTGTGTGCGTTACATGAGGTTTGTCAAGTTTAGATAATTAATCAGGTAATACAAGAATGATCTAATAGAGAAACAAGGTTAATCAGACAGCAACTAAAATAAGACTGAGTTAGTAAGCTAGATGACGCAATATATAATGGACTAAAATGTTACAACTTAGGTCAGGATAGCAACAGAGGTAATTACAGGTAGAGAGAGACTAAGTAGAAGTGAAATTGAGTAAATAAGTTGGATGACGCAACATAAATGACTAGAAATTGAGCGTTGTTCGAGTCAGTAACAGTGGCAGTGAGGTGTAGAAATTAAATCGGATGGGGGTAGAGAACAAGAAGGTTGAAAATGTAAAATTTTACAATTGAGAAGACAAAATAATACGAATGAAGAGACAGAAAAAATAAGATTAGGTAGAATGTACTTGTCGGGTAATAAGATAGATTACGTCCATTGCAAGTGTAGTGATTGAACGAACTTCTTATGTATGCAGAGTTCAGAACTTAGCAAGTGAATCACCATTGCTTCTGCAGTTTGAAGAAGTCTGATTCGTACACCTTTAGAAAGACTACTTCTTACTCTGTAGACGACTATGAAGTTTGTTTGCGATGTAGCTTGGTGTCCGGAATCTATCAGATGTTATAAGATGGAGCTGGATGGGGGCATCACTTTTCCCCTTTGTAAAACCATGTTGGTAAGTGTTCGGTGATACGTTTGGAAAGCGAACGTTGCGTACGGCCAACATACCTGGCTCCACACGAGCAGGTGAATTGATAGATACACATTGATGAGGCCAGCAGTGGTAGCTTATCCTTCATGGGTTTTGTGGAGAAGGTTAGTCGTAGTTCAGCTGCGAAGAAGATTTTCTTAAGTGAGCGCGACAGTCGATTTTTTAGTGTTTCTGCAGATATATCTCCATTGAACAGAAGGTTCATGTAGAGTAGTTTTTTCGAAACGCTAAGCATTGGCGGCTTTTGTGGTCTAGGATTCATGGATTTTGCAATAAATCGTTCTGGATAACAATTCTCGACGAGGATTCTCTTGAGATTGTCCAGTTCATCTTCTATGGTGTCCGGGATGGAAATTCTGCGAACTCTGTAGCTGAGTGAACGGATCAGGTTTCGTTTGGTGTATAGTGGTACCCAACTGTGAAAGTTAGTAAGCTGTCCGTTCCACGTCGATTTTCTGTGGATAGATCTTTTCAGTGTTCCATCCTGTTCTCTTCTTGTTAAATGGACGTCAAGAAAGGATATTGTGAAGTTGGACTCTTTCTCCATCGTGAACTGAATTGCAGGGTGGCAGTTGTTAAACGACTTCAAGATGTCGTCTAGATTTTCTTCGTTGTTGACGATAATGAAGGTGTCGTCGACGTATCTCTTATAGATTTCGAAGGTATTGATCATTTTCTTATTTACTCAATTTCACTTCTACTTAGTCTCTCTCTACCTGTAATTACCTCTGTTGCTATCCTGACCTAAGTTGTAACATTTTAGTCAATTATATTACGTCATCTAGCTTACTAACTCAGTCTTATTTTAGTTGCTGTCTGATGAACTTTGTCTCTATACTACATCATTCTTGTATTAACTAATCAATTATCTAAACTTGACAAACCTCATGCACACACACGCACACACACACAAATAATCACATATAAATGCGATTGTACAGCTATGTGAATGAATTCGCCGAAAAGAGTCTCTTCGCTGAATGTCTTCTCTTTTTCTTTGTGTATTGATTATTTTGAAAACCTGCAGGCTAATTTCCACTGTGTATGTCTTGTGTGTCGGTCAATTAGGTGTTGTATGGCAATTGCACTTGAGAACACTTTGTTGCCTTTCAAACGGAAACTTTTAGGAATATACTCGGAGAATCTAGTAGACGCTCTTCTTCTCTTAGTCGTTCCTATGTACTTGCTGCCACAAGTACAAGTGAATTGGTAAATGCAGTTGGAGTTGACATGGCTTACACGAGTGCCTCCCCATCACATACATGTATGTATGTACCCTAATCGGTGTTGACTATGTCTCATAACTGACACGACAATACACTAAGTATATTTTTTTATAGTGTACGCACTATAGACTGGCTGTGTTGTGTGTGCCTCAATCTCAGAGCAAACTAACTGCCTACCTACCTACCTACCTGGCTACCTCAGCAAATAATTAAGGCAAGAAGAAGAATCAAAGACAAATACGGGAAGAAGTGTGACATTGCAGAGAGAGAGAGAGAGGAAATGGACTGAGTAGTGGTAGACAATATTAACAGTACACATTATAGAAGATGAGAAAGTAAGGGAGAGGGAGGAGAGGTTATAGTTATGACTAATAATAACACAGTACCACTGTAACGGTAGGCGACGAAAGACTCGGTTACAGGAATGTTTATATTTGGAATTTGGTATGTCTATATGTATATAGCGGAATTATGTACACCTTATCTTCAACGCACCATTTGCCCAGATCTTCCATGTTGTTCTCCTTCTGCCCTCCCTTCATATTCTGTCTCTTTGTGTTGCTTTCACGTCTTCCATGTATCTCTGCACATTATTATTATTATTATTTCCTTTAGTTCCTAGAGGAACATAAGGCTTCAGCCATGCGTCTCCATTGCGTTCGGTTCTCTGCCAACGTTTTCACCTGGCTCCAAGTCTGCCCATACGCTTTCAATTCTTCTTCACATGATCTCCTCCAAGTCACCCGACGACGACCAACTCGTCGCTTCCCTTTCGGGTTCCACTCGAGCAATAGCTT